GCTCGACACCGGGGTCGAACGCCGTCGAGATCAGACCCCGAATAGGACCCCGAACGCCCCTACGTACGGAGGTCGGATCCGGGGACCTCCGTACGTACGGGCTGGTGACCGTGTATATATATATATATATATATATATATATATATATATTTTAAAGTTTTCTTTAAGGCTTTTGATTTTTAAATCAAGCTTGGTTGGAAATTGGGGTATGAATCACAGACAAAAGTTGTTTATATCATTATTTTGCATAATATACTTATTTTTCTGATTTTTTTAATTTTTTTAATTTTTTTTTATTTTTTTTCCCTCGTACGAGTACGTGCGCTTATGGGTTCATACGCGTATGCCGGAATACGTACGCGTACGGTGTGCAACCCAGGTGAATACATATGCCATAAGGGCAGTAAGACTTTTTCTGGATGTATTTGACCACAATTATGAAACGTCCTGGGTGTATTTGGCCGCAACGATGTGTAGAGCTGAGTCAAAAGGGTCCCTGTGTGAGGACATATGCACCAAGTGTTTTTCAGTTGTTTTCTCAGGGGAAGAGTACAGGAGCAGGATGGGTACTGCGAAGCAATAGCGGGCTTAACTCCACCATACAACATTGTAAATGTATCTGAAGCTGGTAACAAATCTTAATAAATTCAAGATATTGAACCGAACTGAATGTATCTGACCCATGCCACGGTCCTGATACATGTAGAATCATTCATATTGGAGAGATGTCGAGTATGGGCATAACTGACGGGCAATCCTTGTGAAAGGAAGCAATCAATGTTGGTATGTGGGTACCTCGGCCATAATGAGGGGAATCAGGGGATGCATCATTGACTGCCTAATTGATGAATTTCCTCACTTGCCAGTGAAAAAGCAACCATCAATTTTTTTTTTTTTTTGTTTTTCTTTTTTTCTCACTTGTTGAGAACTGGCCCCAGCATCCCTTAAAAAGTGCTGCTCCTCACTAATAGACAGGAGCGTTTGTCCCAAAAAAAAAAAAAAAAAAAAAAAAGATAACACAAAAGTGATGATTTTTTTGAGGAAACTGAGGCCATTGCCCGGCTTCGGTTGAGAAAACTTTCACAAAAAGCTATGAAACTTAATGAACGCCGTCTGACCTTACTTCTGTCATATCATACATTCTAAATGACACTGTGAGGGCGTCGTTCGACACACCTCAGTGCGTCCTCGGGCTCCGAGGACGAATCCTCGGAGTAATTTTTGATTTTCGGGGGTGTCGTTCCACCTGTCCTCGGAGAATTGCCCTGAGGACGAATCCTCGGGGCCCTCCCGCGGCCAGTTTAATTAGATTAAACACAGCCGCGAGAGGAATGTCCGACCTCCGATTCGGGATGTCCGTGTAGCAGTCGTGGTGGTCCAAAACGCGGATGGCGGGAAGACGTCACGGGCTCTTGGAAAAAAAATCGCCAACGCGGGAAAATCCCCTTTCGAAATTCGAATCTTGAATTTTCATGTTGCGAAGCGACGTGGTGGCGGCGCACAGGCGGGTCGGCCAGGGGGCAGCCTACGCCGCGCAGGGTTTCGTTTGCCATTGCGTTGCGTATTTCAGCGGCGCCGCACCGCCACTGTGTCAAGTGTGGGCGACGCGGCGAAACGAAGACGTCCGGTAGGCAGTCGCGTTCGCCATGTGCAGGCGCCGCGGCGGTCCTGCTCTTCAGCGGCGGTGGGTGGACGCTCCAATCGGAATCACGTCGTTGGGCCATCATCTCCGACCTTCCTGACGTGGTTGCAGGCGTCTTTAAACGTGGCGGCAGAGATGCACCAAGGTGGGCGGTGGTGAACGTCGTTTTTTGTCTTCGAAGGATGTGATGGACGACTGCGATGGCGATGGACCTGCTGTGCTGTCGACGACGGAGAAGACAGCTGTCACGGCGGCTGCGGTTGCCGTTGTCTGTCGTTTTCAAATCGAGAGTGCGGCCGGACACATGAAGGGAGCGCTTTCGAGGCGGCGGCAGAGGCTACTGCTGTAGAGGGTGTTGGACGCCCCGGACTGCATCACGACATCCCAAGCCGGGGTTCAGTTGTGTGCTACTCTCGGGTGCGGTTTGCTTCCTCGGGCGACGCCACGTTGGTGGATGCGGCGGAGAGCTGGCGGGACTTGGGAGGATTTACGCGTTTCCGATGACGCGGCAGAGGACTACTTCCGAAAAAAGCTCCGCATGTTGAGGAGAGTGTTCATGGAGATCAGCGAAGCATGTGCGCCTCATGTGCAGCGGCAGGTGACGTTTTACAGGGAGCCACTACAGCTGGAGCAGATCGTCGCATACCCGCTGTATAGGTGGGACACAGGAGAGTCTTACGATAACAACACATCATCCTTTGGCATGGGCAGGACTTCCGGAGTTCGAGCCGTGCGCGATGTGACAACCGCTATTTTGAGGGTGTACGGGGAGAAGATATCGTGGCCGACGGGGGTGCGGAAATAAGTCGTGCTACGGGCCTTTATGGACAAGGGCTTCCAAATTGCCATGGCGCAGTTGACTGCACACACATCTACGTGGAGAAACCGGCGAACGCGCCTAGCGAGAACTACTTCGACCGCAAGTACCGTTTTTCCGTCATTGCGCAGGTTGTGGTGCACCTGGATCTGCGCGTCCTTAATGTATTCTTGGGATATCCGGGTAGCTGCCACGACATTAGGGTGATCCAACTGTCAAGTCTGTCGAGGCGCGCGGAAGAGGGATTGCTGTTTCGTGGGCCGCCTGTGACGCTGCCGGGAGGGGTGACGACGAACGGATACATCTTGGGCGACAACGGGTATCCTCCTTCTGAGTGGGTGGTGGTGCCGTACGGAGGAATCAATCAGCACCCGGACGAGGAAAGGTTCGACACGAAACAGAAGGTCGCAAGAGGGGCTGTGGAGAGGGCGTTCGGAAGGTTGAAAGGGATGTGGAGGCTCTTCCTGCGGACGCACAAGACGAACCTCGACAGTCTGCCGCAGCTGTTCACGGCGGTATGCATTCTCCACAACATCCTGTTTGATGCAGGAATCGAGTTCGACGAGAATTTGTTGTGGGAGGTCGACGCGAACGGGGTGAGGCGGCGAGTGGACCTGGGGATTCATCACCCCCCGCAGCCAGTGTCCATGTTGACTTCGATGCGCAAGGCTCATGCGCTCCGCAATGCACTGGCGCAGGGGATTAAACACGTTTGATCCACCCAGCCGCCTACCTGTTCGTCCCGTTGAAGTCGTGTCCCGCCATAGTCGGCCGACAACTCTTTCGTCTTTCGCTCACGCGCGCGATCGCCAGTGAGGGTCTGCCGTCGCCGTCGGATTCTTTTCAGGTGTTTGTTCTTGTATTCGACGACGCTGTATAGGTCCAGTCCGTCGCGCAGCGGGAGTGCGACGGGGTCGCTGATGTAGTACTCGTCCTCTGCGTTCGTCTTTTCGTATTTCGGCTCTTCATTGTCGTCGTGGCCGAGAAGTTGGTTTTCCTGCGCAATGACGTGGAGTCATCGATAGATTCGGTCCTTGTCTGATGGGGGGCGGGGGGC